CATGCATTACTGGTTAGGACAGAACACTTTAAATGATCAAATAACAAATGCTCCAATAAGTTATTGGAAATTAGGAATAAATCAAATAACCTTGGTCAAATGTTCTCTATTAAACAAATATAGAGACCACTGATTTTTTTTCAACTAATTGTTTTTGAAGTTCATGCCATTAGTGAGCTAAAAGATCAATGTCAAATAATGTAGAAATAACTTTAATGCAGACACTCTCTAGTGTCTAGAAACTAGACAATACAATAAATGCTAAAAAGTTTTTGAATCCAGTTTGAAATGTCTCAAGTTTTCTACATGATGCAAATAATTAGAGTTAATAAAGTCAGTCCCATAACAGAAGTTATCTGGAGAAAAAAACATTTTGAATTATACAGAATGAGATGCCTTCAACTCAGACACCCACCTGCATCACCTTCTGCTGAATCTCTTCCAACTGTGTGCGCTTACTGCGCTGCCTGCATACTTCCTGGTAGCGTGTATACTGCTCTCGGAGTGAGTCTAACAATTTCATAACCTGTGGCTGTGCAAGCAGTTCATCATCCATAGGAGACCATGAGACCCCTCCATCAGAGCCATTAAATCGACGCTGCTGTAATTCAGATAACAACTCATGCCCTTTACAAACAAAAGATACTTGTAATTAGTACTCACAAAGAAATACAATTCCTACCTGTCAATCTTCTAAATTCTAGTCTCTGTTTTTAAAACACATCCATCTGCCTACTTATAAAAGTAATGAAATACAACTGAAACCCCCCACCTACTTATAATAAAATACTACAGCAAGTAGGAAAACTGCATACATGCATACATTTGAGCACATATATACTAGAAAATATATGGAAATGTTCAATCATATGATATATACCCTGTATTTGATGTGTACAGCAGTAAATGTAGAACATGTGTGGTAATATATATTTATCATATTCTTGGTGGATTTATTTCTACAGATATGTGCCAATCGAAGGTCTTTTCCCTTGAAGAGCAAAATTACACTCTGGGATTTCCATTACTAAGCCAAGAACTGTGTTGGAGGCTGTTTCAATATTCATTCGCACCCTCAATAACAGCACTTAAAAGTATACAGTGAAACAATGTATGCTAGGCATACCTGCAGAAAATATTCTTTAGTAGTACAAAATAGTATTTAAATAACCCCTACAGGGCTCTACAATAGACTGGCAGAATGGTGACAGGCCGCACTAGTGTAAGAATTACACTGAAGATGGGTCAGTTGCAGCAAGCCCACATAGAAAATCTACTCATCCAAATAAACTAAGACAACTGAAAGTACAACAAAGCTATCATAGTTACAACTAAAAGAATAGATTGTGTGCCCAGACTGCTTATTACATAGCTGCCAAAAATATATGGATACATAAATTTTCTTCAACTTTATTTGGGAAATATTCTAAATTTAAATAGCTTTTAATATAGAGAAAGACTTTTTATTACGGTTTTCAGGTATTATCAATTTCTAAGAAAAAAAATTTAAACTGTTCTAAATCTCTATTATATATTCTTCCAATCCCTACTTAAGAGTTAATAACAATTTACAAATGCACAAATATTAAATCTTAGATCAATGGCTTAAAATAAGCTTTTAATTGTCAAAGTAGGAAAAAATGAATGTATTTTGATATTAATGCCTTCTGTGTTATATATGAAATTTGTGTGAAGATTCAGATGTGTTTTAAGTGTTTGCACAAATCTTTGAAACAAGTGTTTTTCCAATTACAAAATACCAGAAAAAAATTTTAAATCCTGAATATTTTTGTTGTATTTATTCAGTTGGACTATATTTTTCAATATGATACAGATCTTATTTCCCTGGAGAGCAAAGGAATGCTTGTAATCTCTGCATTACACATTTAGAAGTTACAACAGTTGGTCAGCAAAAGTCCTACTCTGAATGAAAACTTAATTCTATATATGTACTACTTTGACAATTGCTATCCTTAGGACTTTCCTTATGGCTACCATTTCCATTACAGAAAGTTGAGGACAATTATTTCAGAGACATAATCTGAAATCAGACTGTATGGGGTTCAGGTTCAAACTGCAGCATTTTACTGGCTGTATCTCTGCATAAATTACTTAACTTTCCCCCAGGAGGGACTGAAACCAGAGCCTGTACCTGCTAGAAAAGTACTCCACAAGTAAGTTGTATCTCCAGCCTTCTTTTCATTTTTTATTTGGAGACAAGGTTTCAGTAAATTCTTCAGGTTTTCATTTACTTCACTCTGTGGATTTAGGCAGGCCTCGGACTTGTGATCCTCCTGACTCAGCTTCTTAAGTAGCTAGAATTAACAAGCCTGTGTACCACCAGGCCCAGCTGAACCTTTCTATGCTTCAGTTTAATCCTTTTAATTTTTTTTCCATGCGTATGAGTGTTTTGTCTGCATGTAGGCATACCCCTGCCATACAATGCCCAAGGAAGTCAGAAGAGGGCATCAGATACCCTGAACATGGAGTTATGGACAGTTGTTAGTTGACGTGTAGGTGTTGGGAACTGAACCCAGGTCCTCTGCAAGAACAGCCAGTGCTCTTAACTGTGGTGCCATCTCTCCAGCAACCAGTTTAATCCTTTTTTTTTTTTTCTTTTCTTTGAGACAGGGTCTCCCTGTAGCCCCACCTGTCCTGGAACTCACTATGTAGACCAGGCTGGCCTTGAACTCACAGAGATCAGCCTGCCTCTGCCTCCTGAGTGCTGGGATTAAAGGCATGCGCCACCACGCCTGGCCAGTTTAATCCTTTTAAAAATGAAATAGCACCTACTTCACAAGACCATGTTGAAGAATAAATGAGTTAAAATATGTAAAGTTCTTAGAACAATGGTTTAAAAAATTAGATATAAAGCTATGATATTTCATTGGAAAGAATTTCAATTTGTTCTCTTAGAATTGATGAAATCACTACTACAGACATGTGGGCTACAACAAACATATCATGAAGCACTCAGCGGACAGGTCACTGCAAAGGACTAAGGGATTCACACAATTACAAAATGCTACAAACAGTGGCTTTGCACTCAGACCTGCTGTGAACTGTAGTGTCAGATTTTCTTAATTGATTTAGAACAAGTTATTTACTAAGATTTGTTACTTCTAAGCCATGGTTTCTTCAAATTTAAGAGAGAAATAATACTAATTATCTCAAAGGTGGTTAAGAGACGGAAATTTGAAATACAATGCTTGGCACATTACAAGTATTCAATAATTCTCCTAACAACCCAATGAAAGACTTTTTTAAAATGTATATGGGTGTATTGTCTGGATGTAGGTAAGTGCACCTGTGTCATGCAATGCCTGTAGAGGACAGAAGAGGCTATCAGATCCCTTGGAACTGGAGTTATGGACAGCTGTTAGCTGCCATGTGGTGCTGAGATTTGAACCTGGGTCTTCTGCAAGAATAGTCAGTGTTCTTAACTGCTGAGTCATCTCTCCAGCCCCGAAAGAGAATTTTTAAAAATGCATTCTTGGCTGGGCCTGGTGGTGCATGCCTTTAATCCCAGCACTCGGGAGGCAGAGGCAGGCGGATCTCTGTGAATTCAAGGCCAGCCTGGTCTACATAGGGCGTTCCAGGACAGCTGGGGCTACAGGGAGACCCTGCCTCAAAAAGACGCCCCCACCCCCCAAAAAATGCATTCCTTAAAATTCAGTTTAAAAATGAAATAAATTTAAATCTTTAAGGGGAGGATTTATTATTATTAATTTTTAAATCTTATACTAATACTGCCAGCTTAACAGAAAGTTTTTAAAAATTCCCCTCAAACTCCCACTATATTAACCATATACATGCTGAATACAATTTTTTAAAGGAACTAATCAATTCGTTTATCAATTATTTTTATGCCTAATAAGTGTTGTTCTGTGTTTCACTTTACCTGTCTGAAGAACTGTTTCAGGATCAACAGACGGAAGAAAGTTTAAATCCACAGACCTGGCAAGCATCAAAAGAGTATTTTTTAAAAGCTATAATACTCCTATACATATACTTAAGTCTATTTTATAGATGATACATATATTTCAGAAGGATTCACTGCTCAATCCTACCAGGTCTTTAAAAAGTCAATACCAATGTTTCTCAAACTATTCCATAAACTAGGGAAAGTCATCCAACGAAGTCAAAACAAGATAAGAACACAACAAAAAACTACAGACTAATCCCTGGCAAAAACAAATGCACAAAATTCTCAACATATTTGCAAACCAAATTCAACAAAATAATAGAAGAACCATATTCTACTACCATGTTGGGTTGGCTTTATAGCAAATAGAAAGATGGTTCAATGTACATAATTCAGTAAGTGTTAATACAGTACATGAAGAGACTTAGGGACAGAAATCTCAATGGATGCAGGCAGGAGACAAGGATGTCTACTTTCTACAGCCTTATTCAGTACAGTACCTTAAATCTTAGCTAGAGCAGTAAGAGTAGAGAAAAAAAGGGGGGATACAAATAGGATAGAAAAAAGTCAAATTATCCCCTTGTGAGGATGACATGATCCAATATTAAATATCCTACAGACCAAACCACAAAGCACTTTTAACAAAGGAGCAGTATACAAAGAATCAACAATGAAAAAATCACTGGCATCACACACATACAACAATAACAAACTTGCCAGGAAAGAAATTTTTTTTTGGGGGGGTGAGAATCCTATTCGGAACAACTTCAAGAAAAATACACAAAAATACCTAGGAATAAACCCAATCAAAGGACAACTACCATGAAAATTCTGAAAAATTTAAGAAAGAAACTGAAGATGACACTAGGAGATAGAAAGACGTCCCATGCTCATGGATCGGCAGAATCAATATCGGGGAAATGGCGGCCAATTATTGAATGCAATCTACAGATTCAATGCAATCCCCATCAAAATTTCAATCAAATTCTTCACAGAAGTAAAAACAAAGAAAACCACTAAAATTCACAAGACAGTACAAAGATCTAGAAGAGCCAAAGCAATTCTAAGGAGAAACAGCCACTCTGGAGGCATCACATCTCATTTCAAATTATACTACACATCCAAAGTAATGAAAGCAGCATGGTACTGACACACAGGCATACAGACCAGTAGCGGACAAAGGACTCAGAAATAAGGCCACACAACTGCAGCAACAAAGGTACCAGAAACATACACTGGAAAAAAGACAGCCTCTTCAAATGGTGCTGGGAAAAGTGGATATCCAACATGTAGAAGAATGAAACTAGATCCCTATCTCTCACTCTGCACAAAAATAAATTCAAAATAAATCAAAGACCTTAATGTAAACCTGAAACTCTTAAAACACTTCAAGATACAGACATAGAACCAGGCGTGCTGGTGCATGTCTTTAATTCCAGCACAGGCAGCTGGATCTCTTTGAGATTGAGGCTAACCTGGTCTACACAGTAAGTTCCAGGCCTGCTGGGGCTACAGGGAGATCCTTTCTCAAAAAAGAACAAACAAAAAGATACATAGGCAATGGTCTTGTGAAAAGGGTTTTAATAGCTATGAAAACAATACCAAGAACTGACAAGTACAATTGCATGAAACTGAAAAGTTCTGTAAGGAAACAACTGGCAGGGTGAAGAAAAAGCCTATAGAATGAGAGGGCAACTATGGAGGACCAGCGTCTAGAATATAAAGAAGTCTACATTTTATAAGGACAGGAGTTTCATAAGCTAGACACTTTAGTGCTAATATATTTAAATGAAGTTATAATAACTTCATTGCAAGCTGCCAATTGTTTTCATAGTCTTTACCAGGAAAACGTAAAACTAAGAAGGGCAGAAAATGGTTTCATTTTTAAATATGTTCTTACACCTAAATGTGTTCCAGTGTGAGGAAAAAATAAATATAGTCTTGCTCATTAAAAATAGCTTTTTAAGACAACTTTTAAGTCAAATTAATGTTTTATGTGTAAAGCAAATTCTCATTAGTAATGCATGTCAATTCTGAATAAAGCTTTGTGGAATGTAGTCCTCAACTTGCATCAATAATACAGGGTTTCTTTAACATATAAATTACAACTTCCAGGTAAGACTGCAGGTCACCTGCCACCTACCTTTCTTTCTCTTGCTGATTTCCCTTATCACTTCCATTGTTAATCAAAGCAAGTTCATCTAATAATGATGTAGATTCCTTTGTAAACTTCTCAAAAACCTGCAACATGAGATATTACTAACACACTACAAATAATCTCAAAAACTAATACGTAATAAGGATTTTCAGTTAACAGCAACAGAATTAGCCACTAGGATTTCTTTCCCTTCCCAGGAAGTCACAAAGAGCAATTTGACCACCAGAGCATGACAGTGTACATAACACAAAACAAAACCACGTGCCAATAATGCAGAACTTTAACAGCAAAGGAATATTATATTACAAAGTTACTTTATTCAGACAAATTTATTTTTATGCTTCTTTGAGAAATACTTGTACCAATAACAAATTTTATAACTACAGGAATGTTCCTGAGGCCACTACTAGCCTCCAATTCTAGGTACAGAACATTTTCTTTGGGGCTAGAGAGAGGGCTCAGCTGTTAAGAGCACTGGTTGCTCTAGCAGAGGACCAGGGTTTGGTTCCCAGCACCCACATGACAGCTAACAACCATCTGTAACTCCATTTCCAGGGCACTCCAATGCCCTCTTCTGACCTCCATGGGCATTGCATGACATGGATACACTTACACATATGCAGTCACTACACTCATACACATAAAACTTTAAAAAATACTGAAGAACATTTCTTCATCACACTCTGTCACCAGTCCATACTGGTTATATGTAACAGTTAGAGAGTTTTATAGACAAGTATGTATTTTAACATGATCCCTTAAATATTTCTGAAAAGGTGTCATAGCTAACTTAGTTATCAACTTGGAGGGGGGACACAACAAGGGACACGACCTTGAATGAAGAATTGCCTCCATCAGACTGGCCCCTGGCCATGTCTATAGGGCATTTTCTTGATTGCTAATTGATGTAGAAGGTCTCAGCCCACTGTGGGAGGTGTATCTCTAGGCAGATGGGCCTGGAATGTGTAAGAGAAGCCGCTGAACATGAGCCTTGAAGCAAGCCAGTAAACAGCATTCCTCCCAGGTCTCTGCTTCAATTCCTGCCTCCAGGTTCCTGCCTCCAGGTTCCTGCTCCAGCTTCCCTCCATTAGGACTATAACCTGAAAGCTGAAATAAACCTTTTCCTCCCCAAGTTGCTTTTGGTCATAGTGCTTATCACAGCAACAGAAACCAAACTAGCACAAAAGGGATTTGGATAAATCTGACCATATACAATAAAGTGGACACACATTGTCTGTAGCAGTCTTTCAACGCGGTGGGGACACGAATGGCTTTTCATTCACTGAAAAATTAGCAGATAATCTAAAATACTTTGGAGATTTTTTTTTTTAGCAATTCAATAAAACAATGCTGTACTATACAGAGCAGCAGATTCCAGAAGTCTGGACAGGAGATAAGCTTTCAAAAACAAAAGGCTTATTCTGTCAGACTGTTCCTCCAACTGATAATTCACACAAATATTTAAGTATCTTCTGAAAATGGTTACAGGATCTAGATTGCTTCTCAAGACAGTGTGCCACTCGTTTTTCTGCTGAAAGACCTGGCTTTTTCCTACACCCATACAACAGTGACAGCTTACCACAGAGTGCTACTGCATCATGTTGGCTGCTCTGACTGTCCTAGGTTGTTTTCATTTTGTCTTACCCACCACAGCAAAGGGTAATACTATCGTTATTACTCTCCTATGGATCTAAGAATAGAAGTGTGGAGAGATTAAATACATCGAAGATCCACCATCAGAATTCTATTCAAGTGAGACTGACTCCAGACTCTGTGTTCCCAAACACGATGCTATATGCAGTATATAATATGCTTTATCTACATTTTAGGTGATTAAAATAAGAAAGTTATTAAAATATCTTATTGATATGCAGAAACATTTCATCTCACTGTATAATGATATACCAACCAGCCTCTTATTTAACCAGTCCATGTGATCATAGGTAAGACTCCCACCAAAATCTTCTGTTAACTGGCATGGCTCTATGTAACGAGTCAACTTATTTGCAGACACTAAAATAACCTATAGAGGAAAAGAAAAGAGTATTTAGTAAACTATTAAAGTTTCTGAAGCTACTAAAGAGAAAGACTCAGACTAAAATATGTAATACTATTTCAAAATGACAACTTATCATTTATTTAGTTAATGCAACATCACTTCATATCAATTGAATAAGCTATGGTTATCTGCTAAAAACTATGAAACATTTCTGACAATATCAACATTTTATAAAACTAGAGATTCTAAGAGCTCAGTTGAAATATTTTTAATACTTTATCAATAATAAAAATCTCTGTAATAATCATTTCCTTAATACAATTATATAATCAGCAAAGAATTTTTATATCAATTTAAAAATCACTGGGTGTACTAAAACAATAACGAAATAGTTTCGACTCAGTTCCTGAGCAAAATCTTACTACTACTACTACTACTACTACTACTACTACTACTTCCACCAATAATAATAAAATTAAAATAAATAAATTTAAAGGGAAAATTTCCAGAAAACATACTGACACAACACAAAGCCAAGACACCAAAGGGAGCAAAAGAGCACTTACTCCGAGCCATGCTGAGTGATATGAGTGGCCCATGGCCCTGAAACATAGACTTGGGCTGTCTCAAACAATGTGTTTGAACACAGAAGCAGTTACATGAATTTTATAGTCACAGAACAAAAGAAAGTGAAAAATCAAGGCTGTTTTCAGATACAGTGGTACTGACATCGTGTAGTTGGGTTAGAGCAAAGTGGGAGAAAACTCTTATACATTTTCAAAGTTATCTGATAATATTATTACCTATCAGTTGGTGAAAGCTAATGGTCTGCTAAGTTAATATATTCCAAAGGTTTTTACCTGATACTTGAAATATTAGATCAGACATAGAGGTGAGCTAATTTGGTGACTAAAAACAGCCCAATATAATTTGGATCTAGATCTGTAACACTCCAACTCAACCCAATCACAAAGTTCTACAGTCACTGAGCCTTGTGAATTTTTAAACAGATAGATGTAGCTTTTGGAGGCAGAGACATCAGATCACACATGCTATCGTGTCACAGTAAAACTGAGCCACACAAGGCTGGCATGATGGCTCTGGGGTTAAGTGTGCTTGCTGCCAAGTCTAATGACCTGAGTTCAGTCTTTGGGAACTCACAAAGTCAAAGGAGAGAACAGATTCCTGCAAGTTATCCTCTGCCAGCCACACATACGCATACCAATCAATCAATCAAAAAATTAAACTGAGCAAGAAATCAATAAACAAATTGGAAATCATAAAGATTTAAAAATCAAATCCACCCAGGCATCTCAAACAATAACACAGTGTGGACATAATTTAGATCATAATACAAATAAAATGAAATTTTGTATGTGTATATTTATATATAATCTTGTAAGTTAAATTTGTTTATATAAAATACATACAAAATCATTTAATAACAATTTATCAGTAATTAGAAGTTTACAGTCTCCTTCACTGTAATAAGGGCTGGGGAAAGTGAACGAAGGCTAAAGACGGAACAATGTCGACAATGGGCTGATGTCTGTTGGACCTGGGTGCAGGGACACGGGAGCTAACTACATTCCATTTTAAGAAATGTATTTTTTAAAAGTATAAAGCAAAGTAGGGCATGGTGGTGTACACCTTTAATCCCAGCACTCAGGTGGATCTCTGTGAATTCGAGGCCAGCCTGGTCTCCATAGTGAATCCAGGACAGCTGGGGCTACAGGGAGACCCTGTCTCAAAAAGACCAAAAAAAAAGCATAAAGCATAGTTTTCAGTAAGATTTCAAGCCTAGTCAGTTTATAAGGGAGTCTTAATGAACAAGAACAGAACATTTTCATCTTAAAGCACTTCCAGAGAACAGAAACACGGGGAACCTTCCCAACTCATCTTATGACTCATTCTAGAATAAAAGTGATATCAACAGACAACCTCAGAAAAGAGTATAAGGAACTGTAACACTTCAGTCTGCCAATATCGGGTGCTGGACAGCAGGGGGGGTTCTTCTGCACTGAAGTGGAAATATAAACCAGAATACTTCTTTGGACAAACAACTTGACATTATCATGAAGACCTTAACATTTCTATAACAGTGCCTAGATATTTTGTAAACAATATCTTAAACATACTTATCAGGAGACATTTATAAGAATGTTTATAGTTTCATTAATCGTAAAAGAACAGAAATAGCCCAAATGTCCACCCACAAAAGAAAAAGTGGTTTTATTCACAGGGATTATTATTCAGCAGTGAAAATTAATCAAATATATCTGCTACTAAAATGTACACATCTTAGAAATGAGTGGAAAAAGAGAGCCAATGAAGACTAAAACTATGCTTTTTATAAAACCCACAAATTACAGGAACAAAGTATATTGTTTAGGAGCAATATAATGGCAACCCCATAGATATGGATAGAAAAATAAAAGACAAACTCTACTTTCTTGTACAGGTTTTCCTTTTTATGCGTAAATTCCAACACACAGACAAGAACACAAAAGCTAGATAAACAGAAATTCCACCAGGGTACCGAGGGAAGCAGACAGGTTAGTAGATCAGGAGAGCATCCTGAGTTACTTTGAGGTCTTAGTATTTGGGTTCATAAGCTGAAGGGTGAGCATCAATTAAGTATCATATGTATACATGTTTCAATACTATATACCTAACACTGTATTTAAGAACTCAGAAAAGAATGCCAGGCATGTTGGTGCCTGCCTTTAATAATAGCACTCAGGAGGCAAAGGTAGGTGGAGCTCTGTGAGACTGAAGCCTGACTGGCCTGCATAGTTAAGTTCCAGGCCAGCTGTGGGGCTACAGGGACCCTACCTCAAAAAAAAAAAAAAAAAGGAACTCAGAAGAGTAAGAAAGAAACAGCAGACCAAAAGGGCCCAGTGGGCGCTCAAGTACACTGAAGAGAGCCAGGTCTCCCAAGGGAGCTGAGGGCAGAAGAGAACAAAGAAGTGGGTGGGGATGGCAGGAGAGCCCATGGAAGCCTGTGCTTCTTTCTTCTATTAAAAAATAAAAGAAAAAAGGTCTAGCACATCAAATCACATTTGCTTAGTTTAATAACAGCAATTGGTATGTTGTGCTAATTTCAAATGGCGATTTAGCCTCAGGTATGGGTCTGTCATACTTCCATCTAATGATCTATTTAGGTAATCATGGAAACTAACAAACATATCGCCCCCCCCAAAAAAAAAGACACTGAAAATGTTTTTTACTTGGTGGGCAACTTTCACACCTGTTCATATTCTTGCTCTAATACAACTTCCTCTAACTCATTCTGAGATTGGCACAGTTGCAAACACTGAACGGGAACTGGACAGTCCATAGGAACCAGTTAATCTGCCTCCAGATTGAGATTGAGAGTCTCACACTTAGGAAGTCTAAACACAGTTGGATCCTAAGAAAGAGCTTGACCCTCTTTCTCCAAGATGTCTGACCCTCTGTCAACCATACACACTTTAAACATGAATCAAGACCTACACAGTGACTCCATGAGGAAATGAACTCCTCCTTTAACTGAGCATCAGTTCAACCAAAGAGATTAGCCCCAAGGAACTCTCTCCTGGAAAGACAGCTGAACAGAAATGCAAAAACAGAATGCTGCCTCTATGCTCTTCTGCTGTGCTAGAGTTCACAAAACTTCTATTTGAATACTGAAAAAACCTCTTTGAAAAATCTCAATATCATGCTCTTATAATTTAATTTTTGATTCATTCAGCAATCATAATGTAAATGAAGCTAAAGTTATTAGGAATATTATTTATTAGATGCTATTTGCTTTAGTTCTGGAAATATAAAGATGGGGAGAAACATTGCTACCAAAGAGATGAGCTTTTCTTTCTCTGCAATGTCTCATAGACAAATGTCCAATGCTTTCATGGGAAGAAGTAAAGTACTGCTTTCCAGCTTATTTCTAAAGCCTTTGTTGGGGGCTGGAGAGATGGCTCAGAGCTTAAGAGCACCTGCTGCTCTTGCAAACAACCTGGGTTAAATTCCCAGCACCCACATGGCACTTAATAACTGTCTGTGACTACAGTTCCAGGGAATCCAATGCCCTCTCTTCTGACCTCCTCTGGCACTGCATGACAGGTGCACGTACATACATGTAGGCAATAAACTCATATATATTAAAATAAAAATAAATTTTTATTACTTTTTAAATTTTTTAAAATTTAATTTTAAATTTTTTAATTTAAATTATATTTATTATATTTAAAGCCTTTGTTGAAAGAACATGACAGTTAAAGGCTTTATGCAATGCTGCGAATGATTTCCAAATCCCTTAAGTAAAAACATCGTTATTTACAATTGCAAGATACTGGCCTAGAAGCCAATTATTTGAGACTGATACCCAGCTCTGCCACAAATCTACTACCCTTGTAGAAGACTGCTTGTGGGAACTTACCACTCCAGTTTTATATCCCTAATCTTTCAAAGAAGGCAACCTGCATCAAGCTATCTATACTGTCTCTTCGTACTCTAAGAGAACATCATTCTAACCAGCAGTGGCTGTGATGCATTTAACATGAGCCATTTTTCCTATTACCTGTTTTGCCTAATGAAAAGCACCTTTTACTTTCTACCCAGTCTAGTTCTAGTTAATCTATACATAATAGTGTACTTCCAAAACACACTAAAATCATTCATAAGCAGGTTTTAAGGTAAATGAGATAATGATAAAAAAGTTGTTAAATCACGTGACAAAAGTATATTTCCAGGGCCAAAGAGATAGCTCAATAGGTAAAAGCACTCGCTGCCCAAGCCTGATAAACTGAATTTGATCCTCAGAATTCAATTTGGAAGGAGAGAACTGAGTCCCAAAAAGCTGTCCTCTGACATCCACACACATATGCCTGTTCTCTCTTCTCTCTGACACCCCACACTCACATACCCCCCACATAATCAATTTTTTAAAGATTTTAAAGTTTATTTCTATATGAATATTTCTTAAATGCTCTTTATGCTAAAATCAGCTTAAACACAAATAACACAAATTCATTTTCTTTGAT